CTTTTGGAATGGATATCGACTCATCCTCTTCTTCTTCTGATATTATCATCTCATCATCTTTATCCTCTCATCAAATGGAAACCTCTCATATTCCGATCACCGCCCATAAACTGAATGGGCAAAATTATTTGCAATGGTCTTAATCCATATTAATGTTTATACGGGGAAAGGAGAAAGACGACTACATCACCAAAGCCTCAGCACTACCAGAAACCACAGCATCAACCTACAAAAGGTGGATAGCTGAAAATAACATGGTCATGTCGTGGCTCGTCAACTCTATGACCACTGACATTGGCGAAAATTTTTTGTCATTTGATACTGCCAAAGAGATCTGGGACATGGCAAAAGAAACGTTTTGGGACAAGGAAAACACATCTGAAATCATCCAGCTTGAAAGCTCCCTCCACGATTTACGTCAAGACAATCTTACGATAACTGAATATTTTAATACCCTTACTCGTCTATGGCGTCAACTTGATACGTTTGAGGTTCTCAGAGGAAGAATTATGGGAGTAAAACCGCTACCTAGCCTTAGAGAGGCATTCTCTGAAGTCCTTCGCGAAGAAAGTCGGAAAAAAACTCATGATGGGATCCCATCAACAACTAAATATGGGAGAAAGCTCGGCTCTTAAGACTTAATTCGCTCCTATTGACAACCGTCAGAAAAATAAAGGAGGTAGGCCTTGGTGTGATCATTGCAGAAAGTCGGGTCACTCAAGAGAAACTTGCTGGAAGATTCATGGAAAGCCAGTAGATTGGAAGCCACATCAGCCTCTTGAGAAAGAAGGATGAGGTAATCATGTAGGTGCAAATGAACTATCACCACAACCTGAAGCAAGCCCTTTCACCAAGGAGCAAATGGAGATGCTCCAGAAACTACTACAGTCACAATCTGGTTTGTCTTCCAACCACATCATTGGATCCGGAACCTTGGCTCACAAAGGTAATTCTTTGAACGCCTTTACTGTTAGTAAGAAACGTAAACCTTGGATTGTGGACTCAGGAGCATCTGATCATATGACGGGAGATGCAACAATTTTTGATACATATAGCTTATGTCAAAATAATTTAACGGTCCGAATAGCAGATGGTTCACTATCAAAGGTTGCTGGTATAGGTTCAGTTGTGCTGTCTAGGAATCTTATTCTCAACTCTGTTCTCCTTGTTCCTGACTTGGACTGTAATTTATTGTCAATTAGTAAACTCACTAAGGAAAAGAGGTGTGCTACTAATTTTTTCTCCACTCATTGTGAATTTTAGGATTTGGATTCGGGGAAGACGATTGGCAATGCTGAGGAATGCTCTGGACTCTACATCCTTAAGGAACGCCACTATCCACAGGAACAACCTCAAACGACAATTCGTGGTAGTTCTTTTTCGGTTTCGTGTCAAAATAATGATAGAGCAATTATGTTGTGGCACTATCGCTTAGGTCATCCTAATGTTGTGTATCTCAAGCATTTATTTCCTTCATTATTTAAAACTCCAAAACCTTTTGATTGTGAAATCTGTCAATTGTCTAAGTATGTACGGTCCCATTTTCCCATTCAATCCTATAAAGCGTCTCGTCCATTCTCACTAATTCATAGTGATATCTGGGGTCCATCAAGAATAAAAAATGTAACTGGTACTAGGTGGTTTGTCTCATTCATAGATGATCATACTAGATTAACCTAGGTCTTCCTCATGAAAGACAAATCTGAAACAAGCCAAATCTTCAAAAATTTTCAAATTATGATTCAGACACAATTCCAGTCAAAAATCCAAATTCTAAAGTCTGATAATGCTCGGGACTATTTCAACTCCATTCTAGGAGAATTTTTAGCAAAAGAAGGGATAGTTCACTTAAGTTCATGTGTTGACACCCCACAACAAAACGGCATCGCTGAACGGAAAAATAGGCATTTGTTAGATGTTGCTAGATCGCTAATGTTTTCCACAAATGTTCCACAATTCTTCTAGGGGGAAGCTGTTCTTACAGCAACCTACCTTATCAATAGGATGTCATCTAGGGTACTACAATTCCAAACTCCTTGTCAACTTCTCCTAAAATCCTTTCCAACTACTCGCCTCATCTCCACCATCCCACCAAAAATTTTCGGGTGCTCTGTCTTTGTTCATATCCATCAACAGTATCGAAGTAAACTTGATCCCAGGTCGCTTAAGTGTATCTTCATTGGGTATTCGTCACATCAAAAAGGGTATAAGTGTTACTCTCCGGTCACAAGGAAATTCTACAATTCCATGGATGTCACATTTTTTGAAACCCAGTCTTACTACCCTAAAATCGTTATTCAGGGGGAGAATCCAACCCAGGAATATCAATTTTGGACCCTTGAGTCATTTAGTGAGCCATCCATCACCACCAAAAATCCCACACCTCCTGAGTCATTGAATAAATCTTTACCTGCCGAAAATTCCGAGTTCATTGTTGACTTGCGGGATAATGAGCACATCCAAGAGGAAACGGAGGAAGGAGCACTTTCTCAATAATCCCATGAGGCTGAACCGGGTTCTAATCCAAGCAACATTCCAGGTGACAATATTCCTCCCACAGATAGTACTGATAATTCTGAGTAAGAAAATAGTATTCTTAATATGCCCATAGCTTGGAGAAAAGGAGTTAGATCATGTACTCAGCATCCCATTGGGAACTTTATTTCTTATGATAAGCTATCACCTTCGTTTCGTGCCTTCACTTCTAGCATCACGGAGACACCCATTCCTCGGAATATTCAGGAAGCTTTCAAGTATCCGAAGTGGAAGGCGGCAGTCAATGAGGAAGTTCGGGCTCTGGAAAAGAATGGTACTTGGGCAATTACTGATCTTCCAAGAGGTAAGAAACCAGTTAGGTGTAAGTGGATTTTCACAGTAAAGCACAAGGCAGATGGTAATGTAGAACGTTATAAAGCTCGGTTGGTCGCCAAAGGATTCTCCCAATCCTATGGCATTGACTATCAAGAAACCTTTGCTCCAGTTGCCAAGCTCAACACTGTTCGTGTACTTTTATCCTTGGCAGCTAATCTCGATTGGACACTTCACCAACTTGATGTGAAAAATGCCTTTCTCAATGGTGACTTAGAGGAAGAAGTTTACATGGACATTCCTACTGGACTTGAGACAACATTAAATTTCAACAAAGTTTGCAGACTCCAAAAATCCTTGTATGGTCTCAAACAATCTCCCAGGGCCTGGTTTGAACGGTTCACTAAGGCAGTGAAAGGGTACGGTTTTGTTCAATGTCAATCCGATCATACATTATTTGTGAAGCACTCCCTAGGAGGGAAATTGGCAATTATCATTGTTTATGTGGATGACATAATTCTAACAGGTGATCATGAAGAGGAAATTGGCTTACTTAAAAAATTCCTAACAAAGGAATTTGAGATTAAAGATCTTGGAAACCTTAAGTACTTTCTTGGAATGAAGATTGCTAGGTCAAAGAAAGGTATAGCAGTCTCACAACGTAAATACGTTCTAGACTTACTGAATGAAACAGGGATGCTAGGATGCAAGCCGGCAGAAACACCTATGGACACAACTATCAAACTGGAAGAAAGTGACGGTAGTGCACCAAGTGATAAAGGGAGATATCAACGTCTTGTGGGAAAACTCATTTATCTTTCTCATACAAGGCCAGACATCGGCTTCTCTGTAAGTGTGGTCAGTCAATTCATGAATAATCCAACCGAAAAACACATGACTGCTGTGATCAGAATATTGAGGTACCTAAAAAGGACACCGGGAAAGGGTCTCTTCTTCCAAAGAACAACAAATAGAAAAATTGAGATTTTTTCAGATGCAGATTGGGCAGGTTCATTGACTGATCGAAGATCAACTTCTGGCTATTGTTCGTTTGTTTGGGGGAAAGCGGTTACATGGCGAAGCAAGAAACAGTCAGTGGTAGCCCGTAGTAGTGCTGAGGCAGAATTTCGTGCTATGGCACTAGGTATCTGCGAGGAAATTTGGTTGAACAAGCTGTTAGAAGAATTACGGGTTCCATCTGAGCATCCCATGGTTTTATACTGCGACAACCAAGCCGCCATCAGTATAGCTAAGAATCCAGTTCATCATGATCGAACGAAACACGTGGAGATAGATCGACACTTTATCAAGGAAAAGATTGAAGAAGGAGTTTTTCAAGTCAGCTACACTCCAACAAACTATCAAAAGGCTGACATTCTCACAAAAGCTCTTGCTCGCGTTCACTTCGAAGATCTGACGGAAAAATTGGGAATGATTAATATCTACAACGTAGCTTGAGGGGGAGTATTGGAAATCAAGCAAGCTATTTGTTAATATAATAATACCAAGCATGCTTATATCATTAATATATATTTAATAGGTAGTGCTTCTCCATCAGATGATTTATTGTAGTGCTTTAGGTAGTGCCTTCAACTTTCGGCTACTTTGTATTTTTATATGTTTGCTTTCATAATGTAGTATCATAATGATGTTGTATTAGCTCTCCTATATAATGGAGCCTTCTCTTCATGTTTAATACACAATTGAATCACAGAGTGTATTAGCTCTTTCAATCACTCTCTCAATATTTCTTTCAGAAGAGCTAATAGAAAACGCATGGAGGACCAAGGGCTGTCCCTCAAGATTTTATTATGACCTTCCTCATTAGTGAATTGGAAGAGAAGGGCGTTTTCCATCCATGGGAAAATCGAAACTCACCTCGAGTTCGCCAAGCATTACGGATAATAGTAGTGACTACACTCCTATTAAATGGTTTAAGGTCCATCACCTTCCCAAGGAGACATAGGTGGGATAGATCCTCATTCTCACCCGATCTTTCGAGAGTCAGACTGTCGAACTCCCGGAGCTCCATTGTGCTAGACACCATAGACAGGCAGAGAAAGGGTTGATGGGAAAATGTGTGGGTACAGAAAGTATCTGGATGGAGCAGGGGAATGTGGGGGTTAGAGTGAGAAAATGGGGAAGAGAAGAAAGAGAGAGGAGAGAGAGGTGGGGGTGGATGTGTGAAGAAGATGTGTGATTTTGTTTGATGCAAATATCATGAAAAGATGTGTGATTTTGCCCATGGAGCGGGCTCATTTACCAGTGTTCTAAGGCAATTTTTGTTGTTACTACTGCATGTGGGTCTTATGAATGTTCCAATCTTATCCTTTGCTTCTTCTTTATTTATCTAGTAATCTGTTCTCCCTGGGAATTCTTTCAGGGGCAAAGCAATATCTGTATTTCTAGTTTCATCCAGTCATTTTGGGAAAACAACCATATTAGAAGCTACCTCTTTGGTAATTGTTTGTGCAAAATGTAGTAGAATCCTCTCACTTTCCCCCCTCAATTTAAAAGCTGGCTCAAGCCAATCTCTCCCAACAATATTTTTTTCATTGTTTTATAAGGTTTTGCTACATGTTTTTATCCTTCTTCCGTATTAATATGATTGCTGATTTTTGTTCAGTTGATTGTTTTAATTTCTTTTAACATTTCATACTGTGATAATACAGTGAATAACAGTTCTCAACTTACATTTGGTGCGAATATGATTGCTGCTTCAGGTGCTGGTGCTGTCACAGCAATTGCAGCAAATCCACCGTGGGTTGTTAAGACCAGACTCCAAGGAGGTTGGATCTTGTTATCTACAGTTTCTTTCTAACCTATTGAAGTAGATTAGTGAATGCTTTTAGTTTCTGCGTGCTTGACTTGAAAACAAATACTTGTATCTATAACTTGTGTATGTATTACTATTGCAGAATTCTGTAGTTGTAATTAATTTTGTCGGAGAATGTTCTCCTGTTGGCTGTACAGTATGCTTCTCTATGTTGCAGAAGTATCTAAAGTAGAACCACTGCTGGAAAATGAGATGAAGTTTGAAAGAAAAACTCCTTTCAAGTGCTAGGATGCACATACCAAGCTGAAATATGTTTAAGCTCTGCAAGTAAGCCTCCTGGCACACTTTAAATAAAGTGGATATGAACTAAAACATTAGTAGTGCAACTGAGTACAAATCACTGGCATTTTGGTTCGCAATAGCGATTGATGACACCACCGGCAATTGAATAACTCCACAGTTAGTCAGAAAACTATCATCAATAGGAAGTAATTGACGATGATCATTAGGGTATTTATAGTAAGTTGTGTAGCCTGAGCAGCCTTTTTAATAACTGTAACTGTGATTACGGTGATAGAAATCCTCAATCCGCTGGTCAAGTACACTGTCGCTGGTGGGGGCATTTGATCAAGTGAGATTGGGGGAGACTGTAAAAGAAACAGAAGGTGTATTGCGAAGAGTCCAGCTCAAGTAGAAAGTGAAAAGTTTGCAACTTTTGTGTTACCCAAAAGACAACTTAAGAGGGGGGTGAATTAGGTTTTTACAATTAAAAATTAATAATATCCTAATTAAAATTATGACTAGCACAATAGATAAATATAATTAATGAAATAAAAATAATTAAAACAAGTGTCTTAACAACTATTTCAGTTAATGATTTTAGCACAGTAAAAATGTGAAATATAGCTATGGTAATTTAAAATAAAATAAAGAGACAAGGGAGAAAGAGGCAAACAAATTTATAATGGTTCGGTTTCAACTCGGCGTACGTCCACTCCTCAAGCTTCACTTGAGATTTTCCACTATCTTCTAGCTTCACAGGGGTGCTAGCAACCTCTTTACAAATGGAGCAATCCTCCACACAAGTCCAAACCCTTGCAAATCTTAGGTGATTCACAATCACTCTCAAGATTTCAAGAACACAGTGTTTGCAACACTTTTACAAGATGAAATGGTATTTTTGCTTTCAAAGAAAGCTTACAATAAATATCTCTCAAAGAAAGATATATAAAATGAAGTTTTGATTTTTCTGTAAATCTCACACAAGAAAGATGGGCTTAAATCTATAAGGCTCAGTGTATAATTTCTGAGAATAGATGTGAGTGATTATAGATCAAAGAATATTTTCAGGTTTTTTTGTCACTTGTTTACATTAGAAGCTTTGGTATATATAATGAAAATTATAGTTGTTTATAGCCGTTATATTCATTTGAATTTATAGCCGTTATAGCCGTTGTACTCCATCATTACTAATTTGAATATCTTCTACTCCATCATTACAAATTTGAATATCTTCCACTTGAACCTTTTGAACCTTTTGAACTGTTGTTGTGCTGAGCTGTTTGAACCTCTATTTTGGGCTGTTTGAACTCTTGATTTAATCAAATATTAAATACATTCTAACAATATTTAGGATAAAGGTTTAGGTGAAAAATAATGGGACAAAATAAATTTTAATTCTATTTTTCTCTTTCAAATAAATTAAAAACATAATTAAATAAATCATCAAAATAAATAAGTCTAACAATTTCTCCCTTTTTGATGATGGCACACAATGATATTTTGATTTGATTTGGAAGTAACAAGGGCTTCCCCTCAAGTCATGCTCCCTGAATTCATTTATAAATACATAGGTTAGCACATGTGTAATAAATAAGCTTTAATCAATAACATGACATAAGATTAAGATATCAAACTATAAATACATAACATCAGATTAGTTTGAAAATAATACCATAATACATAACATCATATAATTTTCTCCCCCTGTGACATTATCAAAAGGAAATTATGGCTCAGAATTTGAAGAATGAGGAGGAAAATGATAATGATAAATGGCATCAAAAAAATAGATAATCAAAACAGATATATACATATATATATGATTCACTCGCGTCTCTTTTTTGTTGGTCGAAAATCGCGTCGGACACGCGTCCTCGTTTTTGCGCCAGCCAACCGACAAAAGCAAGACGGGTCAATCAGTCAATCAGCTACCTCGGCTCTCTCTCCCTCTTGTCGTCTTCTCCTCCGTCTTCTTCTTAATCACTCTCTTTGCCTTTTACTTCCTCATTCGCTTCGTGAGAGAGATAGAACAGAGAGACTGAGCAGAGCAGAAAGGTTGTCAAAAATTACTCTCCGTTCGATTACATCTCTCTCTCCTACTATATGGCCTCGTCCCGTCCCCATACTCTCTTTCTAGACCTAAATGATCCCGTAAGTACTGTTGGGCCGAGTGCCTCGGCTCCCACTCTTCCTAACCTTCCTATGATGTCGATTGAGCAAATAATGATAGCTTAATCAGACATTGAAGCCAATCATTTCACACTGATGTCCTGTATGGAGACGGTGACTGCAGTCACAAAATTGGCTCACCGACTGCAAAACAGTACGAGTGAGCTCCATCAGGTCAACGCCCAACTCGCTCTGCTCCAGCGCATGTACAAGGATGCGTGAGCAGAGATAGGCGCATTGAAGGCTGAAAATAAAGAGCTTAAACGAAAGGCCACCTCCATGTCCCGATTTGGAGCAACGTCGTTCTTGACTTTTGATAGTCAGCGAGGAGTGCTCGCTCTTAACAAAAGCACAAGGGCAGGGACGTCAAGCGCCGCCCAAGGTGATAAAAAGAAGAAAAGAGCGGTGGAAGAGGCGAGTAAGTAAGATCGGTGTAGGGTCGGAAAAAAAATGTAGGGTTTGTTTGGTTTTTTTTTTGTTTTTATGTTTATTTTGATCGGCGTATGGCCGTAAAAAAAATGAAAGGTGTTTTTTTTTTAATGTAAATATTTGTATTTTGATTTGTTCTTGTTTTTTTTTGTTTAAATACTGAAAAGTGAGATTAAAAAGCAGAAAAAAAAAATTAAGTCCAAACAAAAGCTAATAATGAGAAAAAAAATAAAAATAATACCAGCAGAAATTAAACTTAATGGGACGGTGGTGTTGTTGGAATGGTAATGCAAAAAAAATACCACGAGGGTTAAAAAAAATCAACGTATGCAAAGTTAATTTTACCTCAAGATGTAGAACCCAAAAAAAAAAAAAAAAAATTACACAGTTGAGAATAGCCAACTTTTAAGGAGAATAAATGTATGAAGGACTTGCAAGCATGCAACTGATATAAATGTTTCCATATTAATGTAGCAATACACATATATTATTTTAACAAAAATTCAAGTTTCATAGTCATAACAAAACTTTTAAACTAGAAATCGACATTCCAAGCTCGCTACGAATAAAATTAAAGCGATCCTCGCTTAGGGTTTTTGTGAAAATATCCGCCAATTGCTTGTCGGTGTTTACAAATTCAAGTACAATATCCCCTTTTTGAACATGATCTCTTAAAAAATGATGTCAAATTTCAATATGTTTTGTTCGTGAGTGTTGAACCAGATTTTTGCTTAAATCGATGGCATTAGTATTATCACATTTAATAGGGATATGATCATAATGCAAATCAAAATCCTCCAATTGTTGTTTCATCCAAAGTATATGGGCACAACAACTTTCGGAAGCTATATATTCAACTTCGGCCTTTGATAAAGCAACAGAATTTTACTTTTTGATAAACCAAGATACTAATGTATTACCAAGAAAGTGACAAGTGCCACTAGTGCTTTTTCTATCAAGTTTGCATCCGGCAAAGTCGGCTCCGAGTAACTAATTAAATTAAATGCAACACCTCTAGGATAAAACAGTCCCAAATTTTGAGTGCCAACAAGATATCTAAAAATTCTTTTAACAGCACTGAGATGTGATTCCTTAGGATTTGATTGATATCTAGCACACATACAAACACTAAACATAATATCGGGTCTACTTGCAGTTAAATAAAAAAGTGAGCCGATCATCGATATTTTGTTTGATCAATGGACTTACCTTTTTCATCATTGTCTAACTTAATAGATGTGCTCATAGGTGTTCCAGCTATTTTTGAGTCATACATACCAAACTTTTTGAGTAGTTCTTTTGTGTACTTAGCTTGGTTGATAAAAATTCCTTCCTTACATTGTTTGATTTGAAGTCCAAGAAAATAATTTAGCTCCCCCATAATGCTCATCTCAAACTCACATTGCATACACTTAACAAATTCCTTACACAGGGTTTTATTAGTAGCACCAAATATAATGTCATCCACATATATTTACACAATAAGTAAATCATCATTTTTAGTTTTAACAAAAAGTATTGTGTCAATCGTTCCTCTAGAAAAATTATCTTCAATCAAAAATTTACTTAATCGTTCATACCATGCACGAGGTGCTTGTTTCAAACCATATAAAGCTTTTGATAGTTTAAAAATATGATTTGGTAAAGCATGATCTTCAAAACCTAGGGGTTGTTTAACATAAACTTCCTCATTTATAAAACCATTAAGAAAGACACTTTTTCAGCCTTTAGCTTTATAATTCGCTGGTCATATCCCTTGTTCCCAAAAACACTTCAGAGTCATACCGGTATATTAATTCAGAATGATATGGTCAATACAACAGAAAAAGAGATCACAGTACACATCGTGAATTCCTCATAGCATTACTTCTAAGTTCAGTAACACAAGAGGACCATGCTCCAAGTCAAATAGTTACGACCATATCAAAACTAGTATCATACACTTTTATAAATTCATATAGACGTGTCATAATAGACATTTAATCATACTATTAAAAGCTCGGGTCTAAGTAGTATGCATAGCTCACCATTACAATGGGTCAGCAAACAGTCATATAGAAATTATAGACCAGTCGTCTGGCTCAATCAATTAACATAAACAGAGTATCCAGTTATTTCACATACGTAGGTCCTACTGGGTCCATTCATAGGGTCATAGATTTCCTTAAGTATACAGTAACCACACGCATGCAGATACGTCTAGAAGTCAACAATTTAAGGACAAAATCATTTGATCACCTAATATCATAGTTAGAATTCTTAGCTAAATTAGTTCAATATTACATCGCGCATATTATACAACTCCGTATAAGCATA